TGCTTGTGTTTTTTATTCCAAGGTTTGAATTGGGTGTTATTCTCTTCAAATGACATATTGCTTAACATGCATGATGCATATCAACAGTAGCTCCTGAATCCTAAATTTGGATATCTTGTGCTATGAGATTTAAGATTGATTGGTTAGCAATCAAAACTTAATGCTGGTCTTAATTAGATTGCTTGGCTCGGTTGTCTTTCATACATGTGTTCATCGATTTAAATTACTTACTAATCCTTTAGGAAAGATTTATCTGCAGGTAGCCTGTTGCAACATTTATGGATGTTGAAAGGAAAGTGTCTAAGTAATTTTTCCCCTTCATGTTTCATTTAAGTCTCTGTTGGACGGATGAACTCATGTTGGATAAAATTTTATTGAACTTTTATTTTTTCCCCTGTAATGGATGACTAGTGTGGTCATAACAAACTGAACAAAGCTGAAGAGTTCACAGTTGTTGCCATGGAAGATCGACATTACAGCCTACAATTCAACAGATTTTCACGTTGGGTTGAATGGCCCAGACCCAGAGGGATTCCTTTTGAATCCATAGTTTTTTGGGTTCTTAAATCCCTATAAATTGTTTATTTCTAAATGTTGTAGGCCAATGAACACATCCTTGAAGAGTATTTTATAATGATAAAGGAATGTATAACAGAAGAACGGTTGACATATATTAAATATTTCTGGGTTATTTTGTTACATGATCTTATGTTTGCTTAAATGATTAATTTTTCTACATGTAGTATAATCATATTTTACCAGGTAATGTTGTTCATGTTTGCTAGTTGGAATAATGTTGTATACCTGATGACCTTTTTTTATTCCTTTATTTTATTTATTTTTTATAAGTTGAGTCCCAAGGCTGGCAGGAGCCAGAAACTTGGGTTTTCACTTTTCAGCGAGGAAATAAAAAAAATTAACTGATTATTCAGCTTCGGACAAAATGGCACCAAACATAAAATCCTGATTTTTTTTTCCGATTCGATATCATTAAAAGTTTTCATGTTTTGTGCTCTGCTCGGCTGGTTCAAATTTTGATTACATGTAATGGGAATATATTCTCCCAGTTAGTTTTCCTTTTTAAGATATTGTATTAAAATTGTGCTTATTTTTTCCTTTCAAAAGTATTTCCAAATTTCGACAAGGTTTTATTGATTTAATACATATAAAGAGGAAAGTGAATACAAAATCTTATGTGATAAGTTCATGAAAATTTGACATGGGATGATTCAATTTTGAAATCGATGCTTCCTCTGGTTACACATGGGGATGAACCCCTTTTATGTTCTTGTTAAGATAAGATGTGCTATAAATCATGTGTGCAATTTATTTTTTGGCTATCCGTTAAACTGCGATAGTGCTTATGGATTACAACATTTGTAATTTGTTTGGTAGAAATAATTGATAACACAACTAAAATTTTAGAAGTTAATTGAAAATTGAATAGTTAAATTTTTCATTGAAAGTTGGCAAGTTAATGTGTTAAGTTAGAAGTATTTAGTGAAATTGACTATTGAATGAAGTGATAAATGTAAAATATGTATATAAAATAGAAGTATTGTGGTAAAATTATATATCATTGGATAATAATGTAAAATATATTTGTGCTGTTTGGAAAATTGTTTGCCTCATGTGCAACGGAACATTTTTTCTTTCCAATGCACCAAAATATGAAATAACAATTTGCTACTTCACCTCTTTCCAACACACCAAAATAAGAAATAACAATTTGATACTTCTCCATTGAAAGGACTTTCGCAATATTTCAACAATAAACTAAACACGCTCTTTATCTTATTAGTGTATTCTATTTCCAATTAAATTTTAAACTAATTAAATAAACTATAAATTTTAAACTAGTTATATAAACTATAAATTGGTTGAAATAATTAGTCAAACATGTCATAAAGTATTCTTACACACATCTTCCTCCTCTACCTTGACTTGTTTGGCTAATTTTTTTTGGTAATAAGGAAATTTAGATTAAGGTAAATCATGATCTTATCTAAGGCTAGAGTCAAATATCAATCTTTTAAAGATTTTTTAAAAGAATTATGGATTGTTCGTTCCATTCTTAATGCAAGTCCGTATGAAAAGATATAAAACATCTCATCTTTAGTGCAAGTTTGCATGAAAGAATATAAAATTCGAGAGAAGTCGAATTCGATTCTAGGTCTTATCTATTAAGAGTCAAGGGATTTAATCAGCTATGCTACCATCGTAAGACTTGTTTGACTAAATTTACCAAAATAATAACATGATATTTTTTTAATGTTTATTTTAACCTATTTTAATAAATTTTACGATAAAACTTATCAAATAAACACTTACTAAGAGTTAACTTATAAGTTATTGTGCAATAGATTATTATTGAATACGTATTAAATTAAGTTGATTATCCTACACTCTCATTCTCTAATGCATCCCTCCAAAACTTGTTAACATTGTTTTCCCTGTTTAACCTCTTCAATTTTTATCTTTTAGTTTCACATAAAACAAAATAATCAAACCATGTAGTTCTTTAGAATGAGTTTTTAGTCGAAGTGGGCACACGCTAGAAGTCTTTCTAAATAGCTATAAAATGGATCCCAGTATCAAGGTCGGTAATGATATTAATTTCTTGTATTAAGGGTTAGATCATGTGAGCCATGGTGTCCAATTCATCACATAGTTCTTCATCGTCATATTTTTACCTCATTTGTTGTTCGTTTAGACTTTAATATTCAAAGATGCTGGAATTGCGTGTGTATGTCCATAGATTATCATGAAATGCCCATAGATCCTGAATATGCTTGCTTGCGGACTCATGAACTTCATATTATTAATGTAAAAATAGCTTCCTTAATTATTCGTTGGTCAAGGGTAATGAGCTGAACTTATTATTTTAGGAATTTATCTAGCTGTGTAGACTTGGTACAAATTGTTTAAATTAAATTAAAATTGATTTGCTTCTTGGGAAATCAAGATCTGAAAGCCATCCCGAAAATTAAGAATTGAAAAAAAAAGATGAATAGGTCTCATTTGCTACACCTTCAATTAGTGATGTTTGAAAAAAATGGTTTGATTCAAATTAATTGGTAATAATATGATACACCCATATAAGAAAGAAAGGAGATATAAAAACTAGAATTAGTATATGCATTATGTTCTAAGCCATTGCATCGCTTCTTGCAAAAGTATTCTATCAAGTTCATGTCCAAGCCACGATTATGCTAATCATTTTTTATTTATTTATTTCCCATTAGCATATTGAAAAGTAACAGTATAATATCACAACTAGATTGTCCTCATCCGGACAATAATTTAATAAATAAATAAGTCATACAACTTGAACCCAATTTCTTGAATCTCGCATGCAAATATGGAGGGTTTTGAGTCTTTGACCTTGAATTTGATCGATCCTCTTCAAAATGTCACATGACTTGTTTCGTGTATATACATGAGTGAATAGGGCTGAGAAAATTAAGTGTCATGTGATGTTTGAATGTTTGATTATATAAAAGTTTCTCTTAGGGGTGTTCATGGATCGATTTTTTTAAAAATTCATATTGAACCGAGCCGAACCGTTTTATAAAAATGGATCGGTTAACCGATCCGTTTTTTATAAAGTGGATCGGTTTGATTTTTTTAAAATATGGATTGATTTTTTTGAATTTAGACAGTTTGGTGCGGTGTAGTTATCAATTTTATACTCATATATGGATTAATTTTTTTTTAAAAAAACCGAACCGAATCGATCCACTTTATAAAATTGGATTGGATAACTGAACTGGTTTTATAAAGTGGATCAGTTCGGATTTTTTTTCTTAAAATGAATCGAATTTTTCGATATGGATCGAATCGGTTATGGATCTGTTTGGATCAATTTAAATTTTTTGCAGACTCCAAATTTATCTGACATAGACCCTAGAAAAGTATTTAATTAGGAGATAATCGAGAGCAATTAAGTTGACAATAATCTCCTATAGAAGTATAAATTGCCCAGCTTGACATTCTCTAATTATATAAATGAAGATTTATAATTTGCCTCTGAAAACGAAATTGAGAGAGATCAATGTCACTTTCTTTGATCATCTCATTTCTTTTCATTGGTTCATGCTCACTTCCCAACAAGTTGTGAGTATTATTATGTAACATAAATAATAGAATTAAACTTTCTTGCCACCCTTTCAAGTCTCATCACATTCTCAATGCAGTTTGGATGCTTCACGCTACTTCATTTGATTACGTATTATCCGCGTGCTAGCTATATATATACATTAAAGCAAGAATATTTTTTTAGAATTTGATTAAAGTATATTAATAGTGTAAAATGTTCTGTATGAATTCTAATATATTTAGAAATGAGTTTAATGATTATGTTATGCGTATGTTAATAAAGTTAGAAATCAGTTTTAATAAATTATATAAACATTCCATAGATTGTAGCTTGTTATTAAATGACACGTCAGTGAATGTATCATTGAAATACTAGCTTAGAATCAATATAACAGAGGGGTGTGACCTTTTTTTTTTTATTTTTTTTTATTTTTTTTTATTTTATAAATCAAGGATACCCCCAAACTAATACTCTAGAATCAATTATTTTTGAAGTATAGAGATCACGAAGTGAATTTTGTCCATTCTTATTAACATGTTTAGAGAGCTTAAATATCTATCATTTATGCTAAATCTTGTTGGTAATAAACTCATCAAATCATGATAAGTTTGTTAGTTTTCACAATAATGATCTTAATAGTCACATTTATCATAATTCTAATTAATTGATGATATAAAACTTTTTACTTCGACAATAAATAAAAATTAGACTCTTTAAAAATATTTACTTTTTAATATTTAACTCAAATAATTTAGAGTAATTTTTAATTAATCAACAAGGCCAATTTTTCTTAAACCAATAGTGTACCAAAATTAAACTCAATTTTTTAAAGTCATCTAAGCTTCAATTACGCCTCTTTCAACCCATTTTGTGTTATGTAGCATGTGAAATATATGGCCAGACTGTCCATGAATCTGACCTTTGTTCTTATTCTCATCAATCATTCTCCAATTTAGTAACCTTTTCAATTTCATCCCATTTTTTGTCATCACATGTGAAATATAAACTTGTTCATATATATATGACATACCTTACAACATGTAGTATATGAATCAATCAATATTCATAGCAGCAAAACTAGTCATGGAAGCTCCAAGATTCTTTGTGGCCTTATTATCATCCTTGTTGCTTCTCATGATTAGTACACAAACAAGCTCAGCTCAACTTACTCGAGGCTTCTACAGAAACACATGTCCCAATGTGGAACAGTTGGTTCGTTCTGCTGTAGAGAACAAGTTCCAGCAGACCTTTGTGACTGCTCCTGCCACTCTTAGACTCTTCTTCCATGATTGCTTTGTGAGGGTGTGTAAGCCTTTCTATTTCATCACTTCATGGCATCGTGATTATTATCACGAATATAAGTTAATTTTAATTAAGGATAAACTTATTCTTTTACAAATATTTTTGTAGGAGTTTATCTAAACAAATTCTAACTATATTTAGTGCTGGCTTAGTTCAAATAACCATCGACATGCTCCTTTTTTGCATTCACTAGTGCACACAAAATATAGGATAAAACTTAGATATAGGTTCATAGGTGATTTTGGTATTATTCTTCAAATAGAATTAGATTCAGTAGTTTATGTATTCAAGGTTTCCAATGCCGATTGTTGAGGTGAATCTTCAATTCTGATAACCGAACATACAATTGTATGTGTACATGTAGAATTGTATCTAAGTTTGTGGTTGGTGAATGTATGAAAATGCAAGAGCTTCTATATATATGTTATATTTATTCATTGTTCAATGATTTTAGTTTATAAGGGTTTTGAAAATGTTACTGATATTGGTTTTATGTCTACATAGGGTTGTGATGCTTCCATTTTGCTTGCAAATAGTAAAGCAGAGAAAGATCATCCTGATGACATTTCATTAGCTGGGGATGGATTTGACACTGTGGTTAAAGCAAAGGCAGTTGTTGATAGTGATCCTCAGTGTAGAAACAAAGTCTCTTGTGCTGATATACTTGCTCTCGCTACAAGGGATGTCATACATTTGGTATGATATCATATGACTTTTACATTGATTTGATTTGCTAGGTGAAGTTGCTCATAAAATAGTTCCATATTGTAACTCTAAGTCTAATCCAAACTCAGAAAATCCTAACATTGCACATTAGGCATTATTGAATTGTTCCTGTTGATATTGCATAGACCCCAAAATGAAATGAAGGGGAAACAATTCTACATGTTCTCAATCTTATCAATAAACAACTAAACTAAAATATTCTATAAGAATTTTGTTAGAACATGCCGACAAGTATTTTACTATCATCCAATCATAAAATTATTGATTTTTATAATAATTATTTTAAAAAATATATTTAAAGTAATTTTTAATTAATAGTGTAAAAATCCTTACAATTACAACATATCAAAATTAAACTCATTTATAATGAACCAGGCTTACTGGTGGGAGTAGATAGATACACGAGAGCTTAAGTTTGATACTTATTACTACAATTGTAATCTTTCTTATTGAAATAAAAAGCTCATTATTTTATAATGCTTTCCCAATATATGCACTGTTATTTAACAATGTTACGTGCTAAACATTTTTCAGTATGCTAACCTGCATCACATTATCTAACAACACTATCCTACAATTGCATAATGCAGACAGGAGGACCATTTTATGAAGTTGAATTGGGAAGACGTGATGGAAGAATATCTACTATTGCCAGTGTTCAACACGGTCTTCCTCACCCTGATTTCAATTTAGATCAACTCAATTCCATGTTTAGTTTCCATGGTCTCTCCCAGACGGATATGATTGCCTTATCAGGTAAATTCACTAACACATAGTGACAGAGATATGTTATTTCATTAATCAAGTAAAATGAATAACATGTAAATTTAATTATAATACATCAGTGTTATCAGAACTGAACCGGTCATCAACTCAATTAAAGTATTGGTTTGGTAGCTTATTGGTTGAATTAGTGAATTTCTAGTTGAACACAAGAACAAGTGTACATAACTAATGTTTATTTGTGTCACATTTTAAATACACATATTATTTGTCACATTTGAGTCAATTATTCCATCGCTCACAGGTCTGGTTCCAGATAATGTAAAATCTTTACAAGAAAACTAAACACCCTTATAATATAGGTTGTCAATTTTTGTTTAGTTCTTTAAGAAGCCTGAAAATGATGTGTTTTGTGTTAGGTGCACATACAATTGGATTCTCTCACTGCAACCATTTCTCAAAGAGGATCTACAACTTCAGCCCCAGAACCAGAAATCTAATTGACCCAACACTGAACTTAAAATATGCATTCCAACTTAGACAAGCTTGCCCTTTAAGAGTTGATTCAAGAATAGCCATCAACATGGACCTTGTCACACCTCAAAAGTTTGACAACCAATACTTCAAGAATCTCCAGCAAGGAATGGGGCTATTCATTTCTGATCAGGTGTTGGCTACAGATGCAAGGTCAAGGAACACAGTCAACTTATTTGCATCAGATGAAAAGGCTTTTAACAATGCTTTTGTTGAAGCTATTACTAAGATGGGAAGGATAGGTGTTATGACAGGAAGACAAGGGGAAATAAGGTTTGATTGCACCAGGGTGAACTAAGAAAGTATCATGTTGGTATGTTCTTTGGAATAATGTTTGGTGCAAAACATCAAGACTCAAGTCATCTCATAGCACTGGCAGTGTGAGAAATAATAGAATTAGAGAGGAACAATGAATTTTATTTGACAAGTGAGACTAGTTGTAATAAGAGGGTGAGAATTGTGAAAATATGAAGTAATGTGTGAATTGTGAAAGTACAGGGGACTAATATGATGCAATAGAACCACAACTGTTTATAGTAGATGTTAACTCAAAAATCTTGTGTTAAAACAACAAACGATCCCTAAAGTTTTAATAATGACAAACAAAAAATTTTCTTTAAACAAAGTTAGCATTCTTCAAAGATATGATGCTTAAAAAATGAAGTGTTCATGATGCAAGCATGTCTTTTATGGACAATTAGTGACTTCTCTAATCTTGGGATGCTTTCTGCATGGAATACTTATATCTTGCCCATCTTATAACTTTGATGTAATTCCTAATCATCTGCCATGTAGTAAAAATGGTGTTTTATGGGTAATTGTTGATTTTTGTTCTAGAAAATACATGTTTTGATTGAACCAATTTAGCTTTGATAGAATCATTGAGGATAGAGATCAACCAAGACAATTATGTGGTTCATAAGTTTTAGAACATCAAGAATATAGAAAGTCATATTTGAAAAAAAAAAAATCATTAAATAATCAAAAGAGAAGTCATAGAAAAAGCACTAATATCTATCAAACTCATCAATGGAAGTAGAAAAACATTCTTTAACTTCTATAGTCATCGTCACTATTCCTACTATCATCATCATTGTTACAATTATCGCTGTCATTCTTATCACCATTATCATATATGAATCTTGGGCTAAAAAATATTAAATCAAAATCTACTTTGTTTTTTTAGGAAGAATAGTGATAATTGATAATGAAGTTTGAATGAACGACGATATAAACTCTACCAACTTAATCCTAGTGGCTTAATCACTACCTTAATTTATTCTTAAAAGACATTACATATAAAATGAGGAGAAATAAAAAAAAAATTGCATAAGGTTACAAGTAGCTCCACCCTTGAGTCCTTGACTTGGCGAGCCAGTAGTTTATATTGTACGATAAATTGTATAGCACTTTAAATCACGTTGTACAAAAATGAATAAATGTCAAATTGATACAAATAATTGAATCGTTGATTTTTCCTCCCTTTAGTTTATTTTCCTTTCTCCAATTATTATCAGAGAAATTGAAATGAAGCATGCCTTATTTATTTTTCCGTTGCTATGTTTTCAGTCCTTAGATAATAAAGACTTCACAATCATTAAACTTACTTTAAATTGGTTGCTCTATTATTTTGTTTTTATTTGTCAAAATGAAAGCATGCTTCATAGAGTGATATCATATCATGAGGGTGACACAGGTTAAGTCTTTTTATTCTTATTAGTTAAGATTTGAGATTAAATCTAATTTTCTTTATATTTTATATCTTTTTATGCAAATTTGTATTGAGATGGAATATGCGATTTATAATCTTACTGAAAATCAGCAAAGAAGTTGATGATTGACTCTGATTTTAGATAGGTTTTACATTACTGTAATAAAAACTTTTCTATTAAAAAGAAATACTATGGTCTATGTTTTGGCCGTGTTGCTTGGTTTTCATCTTAAAACATAGGTTTCATACAGTCACCTTATGTGGCTACTAAGGCTAATTAAGAAAAATGGAAGAGAAAAAAAAAAAGAAAAAAGAAAAAGCAAGATGTTTATGTGAGAACGTTGATTATTCATGACAATAACTTACATGTCAATCGTCATTATTATCCGATGTTACAAACAATGTGGGGTACTGCACTTAGAATGAACTACCATTTAGTTGAAACATATAAAGAATTATATCTCATGAAATTACTAAAGACTTTTGGCTTAAAACGACATTATGGTATATTATTGGAGTTTACTATTTCCTTAATGACACCCACGACATTATGGTTTTCGAAAAAATGTTTTTGGGTGTTGGGTAATTTTTTTTATAGAGAAAATTGATTATGTACGTAAAAATTTTATGCTATTATTCAATTATAACTTTTTTATTTATTACTTTTACAATATAATCGATTCATGATTTGATTTCTATGCCCTAGAATAATAATACTACAGATTCACTTCTTACCAAAAATTAAAAGAATTTAATTAAAATATGTTATCAAAGAAAATGTTTTTTATATTGTCATTTAATCGTAACTATCGATAAAAATGTTAAATTTTATAACAATATTATTTTAAAAAAACATTTAATATCTAGTTGGATTTGTTACATTAAGAGTGTATAACATGACATGAGTTTTTTTTAAAAATAAACCCACTTTTGAAGAGTTTTTTTCAATGGAAAAAAACTTACTGAAATTAGATAAAGGAGATTGCCTAATCAATTGTTTGAGACAAATTAGTGTGTGTTTGGAAATCCGTGAAAAACTACTTAAACGAAATTTTTTCACTTTCCGATACAAAAAAGCTAAAGCAACTCATGTGTTGCTTTTGGGTTACGTTCAACGTAACCAAAAAACAAACACACCCTTAGTATTTCCAGGTTGTCAAGTAGTTAGCCTTATCAAGGAAAGAAAGACACAAGGCCAAAGTTTTGCAGACAAGAATTTGCATAACATTATCTTGTGTCTTGAGGTCCCATCAATTAGCAAGTGTTCAAAATATTTTACTCAGAAAGGACTAAGGTTTTTAATATTCATCTCAAACAAATTGCTTTGAATCAGGAACACAATTAATCAATTAAAAGATACAATTTCTGGGTACACAATAGTGCATTTGTAAGGGACACAATCTGGGAGAAAAATTTCAGTACTTCTGTACTATTTACATCTCTGACAGATGCCACTCTTAATTAGACAAATTTCTCTATTTCTTGTCACATTTTTTTTTCCTTCTTAAAAAGTAACTATACAGTATATATGTTAAGTGTCATGTTTTTGTGATTTTAATAGGAGTACATATTGGATACTCCTGGAAAACTGAAATTTTTTTTCCATGATGAGTAAAGGAATGATGTTGATATCCATTTTTGAGATGTTGGCACTTGCTATGTGATGCTCTTATCCTACTTGGTGGTGGTGCATATTATTTTTTCTTTTCAAAACAAGTTTCAGAATAACATCAATTTCAAAACAAGAATTTGGGCATAGAAGGAACCTTGAGCATTTTGATTTGATAGTCTTTTGAGAATGGACATTCCTTGTATACTTAAATTTCACATAAAGTGCCAAGTAGTACTAGGTTTGGCTTTTACAGTAGGCATTAGTTTTGAAAATCATTTGTAAGACAAGAAAGTAAATTAAGCAGCACATCAAACTTGATCACTCTACCTATTTACAGAAAGGGACACTCAGGAGTGGGAGTATAAGTTATCCATTTATTGGAACAAAGAAAAAAAAAAACTAATCTAGGAATCTGAACACATGAACCATAAAAATTCAGTGGAACTTCATTCTGGGATGCAGATTGCCTCGCTCAGGACAAGTAAATCTGATTTCCAGAAACTTCTAAGAAGACTGCATATTTTATTTTACATAGTAAACAAACAAGTTTAGCGTTGATCAAATCCTGTTGACCAAATACCTTTCTTAACTAAGTATTACGCCTTTCTTTTTCTCCCAGTGGTTGCGGTTGTGGTTTCCTTCAATGGCAAAACCAAAGGTTAGAGATGCAAGAAAAGGATACGCCATACATCGTCCAGAACCTTTATTACTATTTGCTCTTTGCTCAGGAAGCCATTCTGATCCTGCGGTAGATTTCTGGTCTTGCTAAACTTATTGCTTATTTGACAATGTTGAAGGATATGTACAAACCTGCATTTTTAGTTGTATTTAACCTCTTCTCCTGGTATCTCAAGGAAACAGAAAATCCTATCTCTAAAGATGTAGTTTCCAAAATGAAACATTGTCTATAGGTCTGAATATAATGATTTGAACGAACGAAGATTTTCAATAATAGAAACAATGAAACAAGTTAAAGTCCTATTTAAGCTTTAAACCTTGAGAAAGCCAATGGGGCCCCTTTCTCTCTTGATCAAATGTCACACTGGAGCTGCTCATAGGGGTGGTGGGGTCACTGCAATCTCCCACCCTATCTGATTGGAAAGAGAGAGAAGAATTTAGCTCCCTAGTTTTCCCATTTGGTGAGTCTGAGCACCCTAGTGGAAGCAAATAAGGTTTCTTGTTATTATTCTTCTTAACTTGGCTCCCTCCTATACTTAAAGTCAAATCCACTTCCATGTCTTCATTAGAGGCACCATTGCTTATTTTACATCTTTGAAGTGCATTGTTGGAGCTAGGTCCTGCCTCAGTTTCATCACAGCCACCAAAAATGTCTCTCTCTGTAGGCCTTTCAAGATCAAAACCCCTTTGCCTCTTCATGGTCTCTCCAGAACAGCTTCCACTCCTTTCCTTTGAGCATTGATCCTCTCTCAAACTTTGAACATGCCCATATGAAATTAGTGTAGTTTGTTGTTGTTGTTGTTGTTGAAGGAAATGAGGATGGCTTATGTGTATGCCATTCATGGGGGTCCAAAATTTCTTTTGTTTTGTTTCCTTTCTTAGGTCCTCCATCAGCATCTTTTGCACATTGTATACCCGGTGTAGTTCCCTCACCTACAAATTCCAAACACTCATAATTGACAACTAGTAATAATAGCTTCAAATTCTTGCATACCATAATGTCCTTTTCAACACAAACAAGATTGACAAAAATAATGCTACATATGGTGTGTGCTAGAAATTGTGAACAAATAATTAATGAAAGCATACAGAATTATTGAAATTTGGCCATGGATGCAGTACTGATGTCACAGAATGTAGGACATCATCTTACATTGATTTTGACATCAGGATGGTCACGGTCAAAAGTATAATGATTGTACGTTACTAGCAATTTATTGTACAGTGCCATCCAAAGATTAATAAAAGGTTTCTCATTCTGTTGGATTGAAATCACATGTCTCTCTTTCCTTGCTCATTCCATAGCCCCCAATCAAAAAGTAACAACACACGGTTAAAAAGTAACACATTTGTCAGTTTTCTTTTCCCTTCACATGTCACTTTTTGATTGGGGTAATAGGAAAGATGGATGAGTACTTTGGTTCCATTTCTGTTGAGGCATTGGAGTGTAGGTAGTATTTGGTTTGAGATTTTTTTATTTCAGTTTAATTATAATCATATCACTTTATTTTTATTTTAAAAAAATGTTTATACATGAAATAGCAAAAACAAAAAAGTAAAAAAAAAAAAAAAATTCACTGTTTCATATATAAACTTTTGGTAAGAAAGAAAAAAAAGTTACACTTTTATAATTAAAAATATTTTCTCAAACCAAACAACACCTTAACCTTTTAGGAATGGAACCATTTGACCCAAATCCATTAATTCAACCAATGTAGGACACTAATGTGTTATTCCAACACATTCAATCAGGAATGAACATGAATTTAGAACCAAAGCAAGCCTTCAGATCCACCCTATGACATTTTCTTCATGCTATGTAACATTTATTATACAAATTGAATTGCAACCAGAATTTTGTATTGTTAAGATGAGAAGACAAAGCTTACAACATGTTACATAGATGTGATACCTGGTGTTTGAAGATGTCTTCATGAATCTGCATTGTCTTTTTGATAGATTCCATGTTGTTTCTGTCAAACATCCTATCCATTGGATTTTGCAATTTATTCACTCCAATATTACAATGGTTGTTACTTACTCCTTTGTTCTGATAATGCTCCCAGATATCCACACCACCCACAATGAAGTTGTTGCTGTCTACTGAGGATGCTAGAAGATTTATGGAATATTCAACTTGAGTTCCCATGCCTGTAAAAGAAATTAATACTTTTTAATTTTTCTCTCACTAGACTTCAACTTCTGTGCCTTGTGAGTGTTGAGTAATGCATCATAAATTGTAAAAATGCTTTTATTTTGCCTATGCTTAACAGAAATAATGAATGAAACATGTTTCTTCTTTATCTGTTTCCAGTGTTGATTAGTAATCTCAAGAAACATCAAATGATAATAGGAGCAGGAAACTCAGATTTTAGGATTGTTTAACAGGTAACCATACCATAATTAATTCCTTTGCAAGTGAAGAAACTAGAGAACTCTCATATGGAATATAGAAATCCAAAGAACTAGTCATAATTAGCTTCATATCATGAGCAAACATTAAATTGCAAGATTTTTTTGCTTCCTTTTTAGGTGCATAGATGTAGAGTCATATCTTGCAAAGGTACTAGTTTGATGTTTGAATAAATATGTCAAAACAGGGGCAACTTTACTAAACAAAAGTACACAGGGGACAGAAAATTTGCGTAGAAAGGTTCAAAAGTGTAAACAAACTTTGCCATTATGCTGAAGAAGCTTGAAATAATGAACATTAGATGTAGGCATTTATGTGGGTCTGTCTGTGTAGGAAGATAGCATCAATAGCCATAAGGCCAGGCCCATATCAGTGATCTTGATTTTCTATTCCTAGAAACTAGCCACAAAGAAGTGTTCATTTCTCATTGTTCCTTATATAGCTAGGCTCAGGAAAAGAAAAAGAAAAGAAAGACAAAAACTAAACTTAACAGAAGAATTCAAGAAAACCAAAAGATTTCACCATTCACACAGACAAGAGAAGTTTAAATGTCAAGGACATGAACAAGTCAACAAAATTTTTTCTTTTTATGTTGCTGTTGGAACTTTTTAATGCGTCAACATGGATGGGCATGAATACCACTTCCAGAATAATCAGAAATGGCTTGCAATTTTCTCAGTTGATGATATACTTAAGAAGCATTAAATCTGAGAACTGCAAAACCTTCACACCTTATTTGTTTGGAGACTCCACACCAAAATGGAAAAAAGAAATGTTATCATTAAGAGTTGATGCTTGCTTTAAAGTTGATATAAAAAAGATCACTTGTTGTAAGAAGTACCCAAATTGCAGCTTTCTCTGATGAAGTTCATTGAGCATCTTCCTCCCTCATGCCAGCATTTTTTCCCATAGGTTAGTCGTACTACTAATAAAACCAACACTAACATAAGAAGTGGCCAATTCTCTCATGATTCTCCTTGAATCATGGTTGAAGGAAAAATTGAAGGAAGGATCAATCCAAGTAATGCACTTCAAGGGAAATTTGGAGAAAGCTCATAGAAACATCAAAACTTTTGGCTGATCAATTCAACCCTCTACTTAGACACAAGAAAGCAACTCAAATTTTGAAAATTGAATCATGGGGTTAATAATTAGGCTTGACAGGCTGTGCGAGAGGGAAGCAAGGGAAAAGCTGGAGCTGCAATGTGTCTGTTTATGTGTGAGTGGCTGAATGATTTTGAGAGAGAGAGAGAGAGGGAGGGTAAGGGATGTTATAACGTGATATGAAAAATATTTTGTATTTGTAAACATATACTTAGTTTAATGTATTTTGTATATTTGTAGTTCAGTGTAATGTGGGAAAGGATAGGAAGTGGGGACCACAAAGTTGCATATAATAAAAACAAATGACACTCCTAAACATGATGCAATGTAGGCCAGTGAACAAGATATTCAGGACTTAATCAAGATATGCATGAAGAATGAAAGTTAGGGCTATTGCTACAGAGGGTTTTGGTACCATTTCTATATCAACAAATAAGATATTGCTGCACCTGATTTTGTAGAAGGAGACCATTGTGGATGCTAAGGAACCTTATTAAAATAACTTCATAAATAAATAAATATCAAACTGAATGGAAGCTTTAAGTTTTCCTTAATGAGTTGTCAGTAATAATTGTAGAGAGCATAAAGAATTAAGATGGAAGGATGAGAAACTTCCCACCCCAATGGATCGTTGAAGTGCAGAATAGCTCTGTGGGAACTTAAAAAATTATAAAGAAGAATGTTGATAAAAAAAAAAATATCAATAGTATTGGTTAGAGAAAAAAAATGAATGACTTTTTTTTAATAATATGAAATTATAATCCAATCTAATTGGATCGGTCTAAATAGAGATAAAATATAATTTTTAATTGTAACTTCATATTCAAAATCAAGATTAAATCACAATTTTTAACTTAAGTATTAAATAACTTTTATGGAGAAAGTTATAATATATCTTACTCTTTTCTTTTGTTTGAATCAACATATATTTTAGATGGAAGACATTACTAATAAAATTAATATGGTGGATAAAATTCTTTCTCCAAATATACTTGAAACTCAAATACATATAACAATAATTTTTTATTAATAAAAATTACAATGATCATATCACAATTTAAACTTAAAACTTTATATATATCACTCAAATTTCGTTATTAGATTGAACTTAATAATCTATATTTTTAGATTGAACTTAATAATCCATATTTTACCATGATTTAATATAACTCAAATGTAGTTAGTAACAAAAATTACTCCATCTACTCTCTATTGTAATTTTTAATTTATTTTATACCTATTGAAAAATTAATTATTTATATTAAACAATTATATTTGCATATCATTTATTAATATGTTTTTAAGGTGTCTAAAGACTGGAAAAGTGTTGAAGATTATCAGAAAAAATAAGGGCCACACATAAGCATGTGTGTTGTGAATTGTGATGCATAGATTTTGCTATGCAAACATTGTGGTTTGATGATAGATATATGCCAGTCTGTGGTGTTTTGTATTTTAGTAAGTTAGGCCTGAAGAGTAGTTCTATGGTGGGGCCTTAAATGCTTTCGAAAATTGCACACAAAACAATGCACACGCATGCCATACTACTTTTCTGCATTAATATCATACACTTCGGATTCTTCTTTGCTCTTCTTGTTACCATTAACTATTTATCCCTTATATGGCTACAAATAGGTCAAGATCATTCCACATAGATCCACACTTCAGCTCGTATCAAATCAGGTTACTTCAAGTCAAGTCCTTTTATCAAATGAATTACGTCATGAGTTTTGTAAAAATATATTTAGTTACAAAAAAAAATTAGTTTTAGTTAGCTTATTTAAAAAGTTTTTTTTTTTTTTTAATATTTTAAGTTTAATAGACTCACTATGTTATATAGATATCCAACTAAAAAAAGTGCTTAGATATAAAAAAAACACACTTGTTCACGAGGTCAACTTAGACATGAGACGAACAAAATTTTTGTTCTTTTTAGTTCTTTTAAAAAAAGATTTACATTAATATTTATATAATTCTTTTAAGACCCATAATTTAAAAATAATTTCTTTTGTATTTTTAAAAACTTATTCTAAAAGGTCTATATATAACATATATAAATATAATTATTTTTTTTCTTCAAGATTCATCTTTAAAATATTTTCTTTATCAAAATATATTATTAGTAATTTTAAAAAATTTCACTTTAAGATTTGTTTTAGACCTAATAACAATTAGGTCAGTCATGTTTGTTCAAACTCTAAATCCTAAACTTGATAGCCAAACTCCTTACTCATAATTCAACTCCTTCAATAGGTGAACCCTCTTTGTTCATGGTTCAACCACTTCAATAACTAAATCTCCTTGCTCATGGTTTGGCTCCCTAAATTATCGACCCCTACCCATGATTTCTTTAATAGCTAAACTTTTCAATTGGTACTCTAGATTTTAACAGTTGAACCCTCACTTAAGATGGTTGAATAATAAGAACCCCCCCAATCAATATAACTAAATAAGAAAGGCAAAGATATAGACAATTAAAGTTGTTAAGACAATTAACAAACTAAACAATCATTAGATATCTATTACCTAATTGGTAATTGGAGACAAAAGTCTGCAAGTTTAAGGCTCGTTGTGGAATGTATAAACAAAATAATGGATATCTAGATAAGACTAATGTTAACTAATTTATTATTAACACTTAATGCTCTGAGTCAAACCTAAAGTGTCTTTTGTAAGTACTAAATCTTTCAAAAGACTTTGCAACTAGTTACTTGTTAAGAAGACTCATGAGTGAGGGAGCATTACAAGAGAAAAGTACCTTTGTATCTTAAGATAGGTATGTGACACTCTTCTATCCCAAATAATTAAATAAAAAATTTAATATGTAACAAATTTTTAAATCCAAAGCATGTATAATATAAAGTTTCTTAGTTATCAATTCTTAGTAAAAGGCTTCACAAATCTTTTCAACAATTCTATTAAATAAAATAAAATATAATTAAATATTATAAAAAAAATTAAAACAAGGTACAAACCGCCTATTTGAACAAACTTCAACATTAAACATTATTAATTACCACCTGAATAATCCCAATAAAATACTAAAAGTATAAATTTTTGCCCTAATGTCACATTAATCAAAGCAAAACTCTCAGATAAGTGAAACTCTAAACTTCTCCATTAAATACATCTTCTTGTACTCAATCTATTCTTGCAAATTGCGATCAACCCAAACTCAAGCAACACAAACATAGAGAATGAGAGTACATGTCATTCACACCCATGTATGAAGCATAATAATGGACACACATCTACCACAAGTACATCTCAGAATACATATAAATCTCCATCCACACATCTACAATAATCATTGTCAAACATTCATTCATCATTTATAATTAACAAGTCATACAATTTACCTCAATTATAAAATAAGACTCGTGTAATATATGCTCCTAACTCTACATGCATATGGTACCAATTTTCTCCTCCTCCTCCTTATTAATACAAAATAGTCTAGGAGTCATGGAACGAAACCACCCATCAATAGTGTAGGGACCACCAATCAATAATGATCCCCTTGAATCACCCTCAATTAGGGAATGTCTATCAGAGTCTTGTCGAAGTATTACAACTGACCATGGTAGTCGCTTATTCCCGTTAGAGCTTTCCAGTCGCTTATTCCCGTTAGATCTTTCCCTACTGTAACACCTTGGTGCATAAGTAGATGACATATGATATCCTACTTGCATAGACTTGTATTATCCCATGAACAAAATATGAATGCATGAGCTCAATAATCACATTTCAACCACACAATATGCAATAACTCACTTCTTTATTTGTCAATCCGCAATACTGGACTTATCCATCTCATCTCATCTCATCAAATATTCATCATATCTCAACATTTTATCCTCATTGCATTATTCATCACAACATGCAATATCACTTTTCAACAATTCATTACATCAATTGAACGATATGTCAAAATAAATTTTCATACAACCTCATCAATATTTGTAATTAAGAACTCATCATATATCAATCAACTATTTACACATTATTACTCATTGATTCATTTGTTTAGTTCACAATTTTAATCCCTCCTCGTGACTCCTCAATTATCAATTAATTCATTCTAAATAACATTATGTGAAAATGATGTAGTGTTTGATAAGGTTAGTGTTAGGATCACTCGAAGACCAGGTAACTCGAAAAGCATAATTGGTTTACTGTTCATCGGTTCTCTCTAATTCTTCAACTGGCTTACTGCTACACCTAGGGAGACTAATAACCAACACAGATGCACAACATAGCATGTAATTGGTTTACTGTTCATTGGTTCTCTCTAATTCTTCAACTGGCTTACTTGCTACACCTGGGGAGACTAATAACCAACACAGATGCACAACTAAAAATATTTATTTATAATAAAATTAATTATATAAATATCTTGTGCATTACACAAATTAAAATACTAGTAACCTTATATCACAATATAATTATTCATCATAAATTTAAAATATAATTCATAAATTTAGAAATAATTATTTATAACAAATTTTAATTATAAAATACTTTATGTAATTAAAAATATTTAGATTAAACTATGCTTTTGGTCTTAAATTATTAAATTCACAATTTTGGTCCATCTATTTCTAATTTTGTAATTTTAATCCCTCTATTCACAACCTTCTCCATACATGTCTATTTGTTTGTCATTAAACTTGTAACATTTATCATGACTTAACATTATATAGATAATATGATAATTAATATTTAATATTATTTAGACTAAATTATATTTTTAATTCTCATTTTCATCTAACTTTCAACTCATTTTACTACTTTTATAAGATAAAAAAAATTAAGTGAAATTTAGCCTAAATATTACATGAATTATTTGAATGTATGAATAATTTTATGTTTTGGATGATAATTCTATGATCAGACATCCCTATGAGTTCCCATAGGAAATTCTAAAGGAACTTGTTGTGATTGTGTAAAGATATTGGTTGTATATGTAAATTTAGAGGACAAACACATAGAATGGGGGTTGAATATGTGTGTGAAGGTTTAATGAAATCTTTTCGCATAAAAGGCTTTTTCATGATTCATACTGACGTTTTCAAACTCAAGATGCATCTCACGTTTACTTTTAATATAACATTTAAAAGAGTTTTACGTCTGAAAGCTTTATCGTCTGCACGAGAGTGTTTATTGCAATAATAAGTTAAACAAGAGATGTTTTCCGTCTG